AAGAGAGGGGCCTTGCCAGAGTGACTGCTGCTGCACAGTAGGCGAGCGCACAATGGAAGCTGCTGTTACTAATCCTATCAGGGCTGTGCATCTGGTGACAGCCTTTCAGGGAAAGAAGTTGAATCAAATATGCACATGCTTAAAGAGGCACCTTTCTGGTAGCAGTTCCCACATCCAGGCAACACTCCTCACCAGCACTCGCCTGTGCTGCCTCCTGCACCTGCGCCTTACACCACCTGGATAAAGGATGGAGGACCTTCTGAGCTTTCCTCCTGGTTAAACTCAGAGTTGATGTTTCCTTAACTGTTTTACATTTTGTCTCAGTCCATTTGGGCTACAGTAACAAAATGCCTCATACCACCTGCTAACTTTTGAACAGAAAGTTGTGGGGTTGTTTTGTTTTTGAGTGTGTGTGTGTGTGTGTGTGTGTGTGTGTGTGTGTGAGAGCTGGGGATCAAATCCAAGAGTGCTGTAGCACTGAGCTATGTCCTGACTCTCCTTGTTTTTGTTGGGGGAGATTTGAGACAGCACCATGTTACCTGGGTGGGACTCAGACTTGAAGACTTAGCTTCACTGAGTGCTGGGATTATAGGCATGTGCCACCATGCAGACAAAAGGTTATTATTATTATTATTATTATTATTATTATTATTATTATCATTATTATTATTATTTTAACCTTTTTCTTTCTGGTGTGCTGAGTGTAGAACCCAGGGGCCTCTGCATGTTAGGTGAGCACTTTACTGCCAAGCTGTGCCTCCACTTCCCACAGAAATGTGTTGCTCACAGCACTTGAGACTTAGAAGTCTAAAGTCAAGGCACCAGTGGGTTGAGAGTCTGGTGAGGGGTTTGGTCCTCAGTGGTGGTTCTTCTGTCCTCCCAGGGCCAAGGGTGAGCAAGCTCCTTCTGGCTTGTTTTATCAGGGCATGGAGCTCAATGCTGAGGGTGGAGCTGTTGGGGACTCATCCACTCCCCAGTACTATTGCACTGGACGTTGATTTCAACATCAGAATTCTATTGGGTGGGGCATGTAGCTGAGTGCAGGAGCATTTGCTGATAACTGCTAGTCCTTGAGTTTGATCCCTACCACCACCACCACCACCCCCCGAAAAGAAAAGGAAAATGTGTGTTTAATATTTTGCTGTGTAAGGATAGAATTTAGAATCTTACATAAGCAGGGCAGGCACTCTATCACTGAGCTACATCTCTTGCCCTTATTTTTTTCTTTTGATGTTGAGTGGAACCAAGGGCCTTGCTCCTGTTAATCATATATTCTACCATTGAACTACATTCCTCCAGCTCCTTGAACTTTGGAGGAGTGCAAACATTAAAGCCATAGCAAGCATATCAGTGCCATACAGCTTCTTTGGACAGTTAGCCAGGGCATCTTTTTTTTTTTTTTTTTTTTTTTTTTTTTTGAGACAGGGTCTCGCCCAGTCTGGCCCTGGATTTGTGGCAATCCTCCTGCCTCAGTCTCCTAAGAGCTGGGATTACAGGCATGTCCACCACGCCCAGCTGTTTTCTGTGCCTTTGACAGTCCCCCATGAGGCTGCGGATCTGTTGACCCCGCCTGTGCTGGCTGGGGAATTCCTGAATGCTTTTCCCAAACAGCAGGCATTTTCCATCCCAGGAATAGTCCTGGGCATGTGACTCGACAGCCGTGAGAGGCACCATCCACTCAGGGCATGGAGCCTGAGCTGGGACCCTGGCTGCAGGCCACCCTCTGGGGCAGCTCACCTGGTGTTTGGCCAGGTTAGTACTTCCCAGCCCCCCTGCTGTTTTAGACACATTATTGAGGAACAAGAGAGTAAGACTGGAAGTAATGGGAACAGTTACTCATGAACTTCATAAACGCCTCCACTGTGTGGCTACAGCGGTGAGCCATGCAGGTAAACTCCCTGACCCCCTGGAGCCGACTCGAAACTGGCGCTGTGGCACATGCCCTCCATCCCAGAGTGGTGGGTGACAAGATGTGCACCACCACCGATTGTCTTACAGCCCAAGGGGCTGGTTGAGGTCAAGGTGTCAGCAGGGTTGGGTTGATGTGAGGACTGTCTTCTCTGCACACAGAGGGCTGCTTTGAGTCTTCTACCCTCTGACCCCCTCAAGGCTTAATTGCCTCCTAGAGACAGCCGGTGTGATTTCCACATGGGACATAGTCCCCAGCAGAGCCCTGAGATGGGGGGGGCACGATGGCCTACAGGTGACAGTATTCTATAGAAGGGCTTTGCTCTCAGTCTGCCACAGTCCCTCCAGGTCAGTGCCATGGCTTGGAGTGCATTGATCTGTACAGCACTGCTTAATAGCAACATCCTCCACCAGGCCTCCAGCTCCCAAGCATCTCCTGCACCAGTCTGGGACTTGGCACATACTTGTCAGGTGACTGTTGAGTGATCATGGAAACCATACTGCCACCTGGACCAGGACTGTTAATGCAGGGGTGGGGGGATGCTCTCCACCCTGCTCAGTGCTGGGCTGCCCAGATCTGCCCTCTCCCTCCCACCAGGGTGAGTGTGCAGAGATGGTTCTGTGTGCTGTTCTGCCTGTTGAGAGTCGGTGGTGTGTGGAAGTTTAATGTGGGAGGTGAGTGAAGGCACCCTGCAGGGAGGTGGTGGCAGAGCAGGGTGCCTTCCCACCCAGTGTGCCTGACCTGAGACCTGAGCACCTTTGATCTACTGGGCTTCAAAGTAGCCAGCCTTTGCTGGTGGCTGCTCAGTGTGTTGGGAACAGACCCAGCAGGTTGAGAGGCCTTTACCCCTAACCTAAGTAATTTTCAGTATACTTTTCAGTGCCACCACTGCTTACCCTGTCAGTGACATGGCCAGGGACCAGGTGCTGTAGATCAGCATCTCCTGTGGGTGGGGTCACCCAGGCTGGACAGAGGGCACAGGGGTCTCTGCAGCTTGCAGACCTAATGCCCTGCTCCTCAGCATCACAGGGGAAGGAGGGGTCCTATGTGCTCTTCGCTGAGTCTTTTGCTCCAGTTACTCCTGTATCCTGCATCACTTCTCAGAGGCTGCAAAGCACTAGGCTGTGAGGCTGGGGCTGCCCTAGGGAAGGGACCTGGATTCCTGCACACCAGCCTACATGTCCACTGCTTCCTGCTTCCCCCAGAACTTCAGAGCCTGCATTGCTGAGTGCTTTGTGTGTGCCATATGCCTCGCCATGCACCTGTGCTGTGCCCGTTTTGGGGGGTGTGATCAGGATTTCTTTCTTGTCCTTACTTGCTAAACAGTGTAGCTCAAGGATCTTGTATGCAGTTTACAGGTTACAAAACATGGGAGGGCGCCCATAGGTTTTCTGAAAATGCAGTACTGTCTTATCTGAGGCATTTTAAGAGTCTGGTATGTGGTATCTGTGCTAGACACTTTCTTATTGCTGGGACAAAATTCCTGACACCTGTGACTTAAAGGAGAAGTTTATTTTGGCTCACAGTTCCAGAGGGTTTATTCAGTGCCTGCTGGCACCAAGGCAGAACTGGCATGATGGGACAGCTGCTCACCCTGTGGTAGCCAGGAAGCAGAGGGAAGGGCGGAGCGGGGACCTCCTTCAGGCCAGCCCTACCTCCCAGCTGCATGCTCTGTCCTGAACTCATCCCTTAGTGGATCTGCTGATAGGTCAGTGTACTTACGATCTGGTCACCTTCTGGAAGTTCCACCTCTGAACACAGGGGACTTCTGGGGGACATTTTATTTTATTTTTATTTTGGGGGAGCATGTTTGACCTAAGCTACAACAGCATCTACCCCAGGGAAGATTTCCATATGAGGGGGGGCATTGCCTGAGGCCCGGGTGCATGTTAGGCACATCTGTACATGACTGTGCAGGGTGGTAGGGCTGTAACCCAGGCCTGGTACCTGCTTAGCAGGCACTTTGCCTCAAACTACACCCCCGCTCCTCTGCTGTCTTCACATTAACAGCTGTGTGAGTTGGGATGGTGGCTTGCCATGTTATGGATTGCCATCTCCCTGGTGATGGCTGGTGGTTTCGTGTAACTTTGGGGGTATCATTTGGTCGGCAGTGCTGGACCTGTGCTTGTGTACTGTGCCTTCAAGAGGTGCCGTGGCCTGTGTGCATGCAGTGCAGGGGTGGTTTGCACTGTTGCAAGGGGGGTGGGACACCTGGCCAATGTTGAGGCAGGCTCCCTCAGCACTCAGGTGCATGCAGGTGAGTGTGCACATGCCACCCTATCTGCAGGGGGACAGTGTTTGACCACTGCCATGTAAATGGCTTTCAGTATTCATGGGTTCCACATCTTCAGATTTAGTCAACTACACTTTGAAAAAACTCAGAAGAATATTTGAGGATTAAAACATTTAGGAAAAAAAATGGCATCTGAGCTGGGTATGGTGGGATCACCTGTCATCCCAGCATTCTAGGAGGGTGAGGCAGGAAGAGTTCAAGTTTGAGCCAGCCTGGGCAGCTTTTCAATTTAGTGAGACTCTCTTAAAGGGGAGGGAAGATTTAGCTCAGTGGCGCCACACCTGCCCCGCAAGTGCAAGATCCTGAGTTCAATCCCTGGTATGACCAAAAGGGGGGCTGAGGGGTTTACAGCTCAGCACAAAGCTCTGGCTTCAGTTCAGTCCTTAGTGTCACTTAAAAAAATTGCATCTGTACTGAACATGTGGAGACTTTTCTCATCATTACTCTCCCAACAGCACAATCTATGTATGTAATGTTTACACCACCTGATTCAGCTGTGGACATTTAGAGATGGTCTAAAGTAGATGATGTGTACAGCTTTGGTGAACGTACTGTGCAACTGGATGTAAGGGGCTTGAACACCTGCAGATTTTGCTGTCCACAGGAGGCTCAGGGTGCCGCCCTCCCTCGGATACTGAGGGGCAGGCAGCTCTGTGCAGCCCTGTCAGTGACAGCAGATTGCATTGTGGGTGTCTGAGCTTCCATCTGTCAAGTCCCAGCCAGCATGAGCCCTTAGGCAGGGCTGGGTGGCACTAGTTCTGACTGCCTCCCTCTTATGTCTCCCTGTCCCCCATGCAGTTGCAGCCATGGCCCAGACTCTGCAGATGGAGATCCCGAACTTTGGCAACAGTATCCTTGAGTGCCTCAATGAGCAGCGGCTGCAAGGCCTGTACTGTGATGTGTCAGTGGTGGTCAAGGGCCATGCCTTCAAGGCCCACCGCGCCGTACTGGCCGCCAGCAGCTCCTACTTCCGGGACCTGTTCAATAGCAGCCGGAGCGCAGTGGTAGAGCTGCCGGCAGCTGTGCAGCCACAGTCCTTCCAGCAGATTCTCACGTTCTGCTACACAGGCCGCCTGAGCATGAACATGGGTGACCAGTTCCTGCTCATCTACACAGCTGGCTTCCTGCAGATCCAGGAAATCATGGAGAAAGGCACTGAGTTCTTCCTTAAGGTGAGCTCCCCGAGCTGTGACTCCCAGGGCCTGCATGCTGAGGAGGCCCCCTCATCGGAGCCGCAGAGCCCCGTGGCGCAGACGTCGGGCTGGCCGGTCTGCAGCACGCCGCTGCCCCTGGTGTCTCGGGTCAAGACAGAGCAGCAGGAGTCGGACTCCGTACAGTGCACACCTGTGGCCAAGAGGCTGTGGGACGGCAGCCAGAAAGAGGCTGGAGGTGGCAGCGGGGCCAACGGCAGCCGCAAGATGGCCAAGTTCTCCACACCAGACCTGACCGCCAACAGGACGCCCCAGCCTGCCCCAGTGGTTGCAGCTGCAGTGGCAGCGGGCGGCATGATGAGTGGGCCTAGCACGTCGGAGCGGACCAGCCCAGGCACCTCAAGTGCCTACACCAGTGACAGCCCTGGCTCCTACCACAATGAGGAGGATGAGGAGGAGGATGCAGGCGAGGAGGGCACAGACGAACAGTACCGGCAGATCTGCAACATGTACACCATGTACAGCATGATGAATGTTGGTCAGACAGGTAGGGTGACACCGTGCACAGCCTCCCCGGGCTTTCACGTGGATATGTGGCACATGTGCTCATTCTCCGCTCTCTCCCTGCAGCTGAGAAGGTGGAGGCCCTCCCTGAACAGGTGGCCCCCGAGTCCCGCAGCCGCATCAGGGTGCGACAAGATCTGGCATCTCTCCCTGCTGAGCTCATCAACCAGATTGGCAACCGCTGCCACCCCAAGCTCTACGATGAGGGGGATCCCTCAGAGAAGCTGGAGCTGGTGACAGGTGTGCTGGTCACGCTCCATCCCCAGGTCCTTGTCGCCTACCCTTGGCCTCCTATCACACTGTGGCTAGGGGCCACAGGTGCCCTCAGCCTGTTTCCCCACCTAGGCTGATGTGGGTATGGCTTTGTTGGTGCGGGCCGAGGCTGTCCTGGGGTGTGGGCTTCCCTGTAGTGGGGCCTGAGTACCTCTGCTCCCTCTCAGTTGATCTCTGACTTGGACTCTTGGTGTGCTTCTTGAGTGGTCAGGCCCCACTGAGTGTCCCAGGCCCAACAGAAAGGATAGGTGGGTTCTGAGAAGGGAGCAGGGAACATGAGACACCCTGGCCCACCCTTTGCCACCTTTCTCACCAGGCACCAATGTGTACATCACAAGGGCACAGCTTATGAACTGCCACGTCAGTGCGGGCACACGGCATAAGGTCCTGCTGCGGCGGCTTCTGGCCTCCTTCTTTGACCGGTAAGGCTGTCACCAGGGCAGGGGGTGGGCTCAAGAGGCCCATACCCTGAGCCACAAGAGGTGCTGACTCCACCCACATTCCATCACCCCCAGGAACACACTGGCCAACAGCTGTGGCACCGGCATCCGGTCCTCTACCAATGATCCCCGGCGCAAACCACTGGACAGCCGGGTCCTGCACGCCGTCAAGTGTAAGTGGCTTTCCAGGGCTCCAGGGTTGAGGTTGTGGGTGTCTTTCCCTCCCATGTTGGCCCTGAAGGATGGGTAGATTTAGTGCCAGGAGGATTCTGAGATGCAACCTGGGTTTGTTGCGAGTAGGGTGTCATCAGGTTGCCCATGATTGGAAATGGAGATAGTGGTGAGGGGAGGGCGGGGCTCTGTGAGGATCTCTTGGTTGGGGCTGTCACGGCAGGGTGGAAGTGGTCAGACAACACCTGCCAAAGGGGCAGCCACCACGTTGCCAGCCTCGATTCTGTGAGATTATGCCAGTTCTTTGGGAACCTGGGCCTCTCATCAAACCCACCAGTGTAGGTTTGGCCTGAGCTGCTGCTCTGCCCACAGACTACTGCCAGAACTTTGCCCCCAACTTCAAGGAGAGTGAGATGAATGCCATCGCGGCTGACATGTGCACCAATGCCCGCCGTGTGGTGCGCAAGAGCTGGATGCCCAAGGCCAAGCCACCCCTGGCGGAGGGTGACGCTTACACCTCCTTCATCAGCGACACGGGCAAGATGGAGCCGGACATGATGGGCATGGAGCACAGCTTCGAGACGGCCAGCCATGACGGCGAGGCCGGCCCCTCGGCAGAGGTCCTCCAGTAACGCACGGGACCCTCCCCGCGGGCTGTCACACTCCCCTTCCGTCACACACCCACCACCATCTTGGTCACGAGCTACTGTCTACCCCTCCCCATGACCCGCGGGGGGTGCTGCATGCTCCCGGCCCCTCTGCCTCCCTGTCCCACCCCTTCCCCACTGGAGCCAGGTGGAGAGGGCGGGCTGCCTGGGATGCGGGTGCAGTCGGGAATCCCGACCCCCTTCTAGCCCTCTGGTCATTCCAGCTCCCAGGCCCGGCTTGGGGAGGGGCCGGCCTAGGGGGCCCTGGGGACTTGGGGTGCCCAGGTGCTCTCAGGACCCATCCACCACCTCCCAGTGCTTCCACATCTCCAAAGCGCCTTCCTGTCTGTGTCCCTCGTCTGTCCCTGTGCCTGGGGGCTGGGTAGGCGAGGCTGGGGACTCCACTGCACAGCTAGGGAACAGGCTCAGGTGAGGCCCAGAGCAACTCCACACCTGATGGATGGAAGGTGGCCAGGGTGGCCCACACCCCGCTCCTGGCCCTCTGCTGTGGTCTCTCACCCCGTGGGTCCCCTGGGGCCTGAGTAAGGCTGGTCCTAAGTGAGGGGGGCTCTTGGGGAGTGACAGGGCTTTTGGAGGCCAGGAGGACGGGGTCCCAGGCTCACAGCAGAGCATGTGGGTGTGCGCGTGTGCATGTGTGGGTTTGCTTTCAGAACAGATGGAGGTAGAAGAGGTGGAAAGACCAGGGTTGGAATTGGGGGAGCAGGCTGAGGGTATTGTTATCGCCCTTCCCCATCACCACCCCGCCCCACGGCAGGGCTCCCAGCCCCTCACCCCCTGTACATACTTTTTAAGAATTTTTTTAGCGAATGAAATATTGAAGTATAAGATTTCCTTTTATTTTTCAAACCAACAGGACTGTGTCTGAGGTCCCCTGGGTCCGAGGGTGCCATGGAAGGCAGGACAGGTGGGCAGGCTGAATGCGTGCATGGGTGGAATGTGGGTGCCTGGGCTCCAGTGGGTCCAGCCAGCCCTTCCCTCTCCCCCAGGGCTGCAGTTTTTTCGGGGTGTCCTAGGCCTTGGCTGACTGCTGAGCCTCAGTCCTGGAGGGGGCAGGGCAGGGCCTACATTCATTGTTAGTGGTTATTTGTGGAATTTTCTCTCACCATTCCTTTTTATTCTTGCCCAGAGTGAGTGGTTTTGTTTTGAGGGTTTTTTGTTTGTTTGTTTGTTTGTTTTTTTAGTTATAGATGTGAAAGGAGAGTGCCCCCCCCACCGTCATTTCTCCATTGCACATCTTGCTCAGCCCTGTGCTCCCTGCCTCCTCCCCTCCCCAAACTCCTCGTGCCCCTGGCTCCCAGCTTCCTCTTCCCTGGCAGGGATAAGGCAGGGCGTCAGCAGGGGCCAGGGATGGAGTGAGGCAGCTGGACTGGACCTTGGGAATCACAGTTGGAGACCCGTCCCCAGCCCAGCCTGCTGGGCTCCCTCCGTACATCTGCTTGTTGCAGGGTGGGGGTGTCGGGCCTGCTTCCTGGGCTCACCCCAGCACCTTAGCCCTGGTGGTCCAGTGTGGGAGGGGGAGTCGACACCCCCAGCTAAAGCACAAGCACCTTAGTCGCACTCCCCTTCCCTCCCCCGCCCGCCACAGCGCTGATCCCAAAGCACAAAGTCCTGGTCACTTGGTGAGTAGCTGGCCCTAAGGGGCCCTAGCCAGACCCCAGGAGGAAGTAGGCAGCCCCAAGAGCCCCTCCCTGCCCTTTTTCTAGCAGGATGTCCTGCAGAGCTAGGTGAGTGGCAGAGCCTGTGGGTTTCAGGGACCCCAGGAGGTGTTTCTGACTCCCTGGGTGAAGTGGGGGAGGGCGAGGGGTGCAGGGGAGGAGACTCCTCACTAGGAGAGCCAAAGACAGGGTTGTGCCTTACCCGGGAGCCACCCCTGCACCCCTCCCACCCTACCATGCAGCCAGCTGCCTCTGTCCTGTCCTCTGTCCCCTGCCCACCCACCCTGCTCTGCTCTGAGCTGCATGGTCCCCCCCCACCCTGGGCAGCCCAGAGGAACAGGAACGGAAAACTGTCCATCTCCTAGAAAAGCAAAGAACTCTAGGGCCCTCTCCCCGACTCCACTGGCCGCCCACATCCCTCTCAGGGGACAGGTCACCCCCCCATCCCTGTGAAGTGCCAACGCCCTCCCCACCCCGGGCCGCACCCCCACCCCTCCCTGGCCCGAAGTGAGATTGCACATTAACTACTGTAAGGAGAGGAGTGGCGTTTGGAAATGTGAACCTGAGCTCTCGTTGATACTGATGCGGAGAATAAACAGACGCCTTTGTAACAGCCCTGCTGTGCCTGCTGCTCACTGGATTGGGAGGGTCTCCAGGGATGTTAGCACCCACTGCCCAGGAAGCTTGGGCAGCAGTGGCTCTGTTGGTGCTGCCTGCCTGACTGGCCAGTTCCTCTCTCTCCTGCCCTGCACTCAGCTCAGCCACAAACCTTCTGTGAGTGGAGGATTGGGGTCCTGCCTGCCATGCGAGCTCCACCACTGATTCACCCCCCAGCCCAGCACCACAAGCTTTCATTCTGTTGCTCTTTAAACTCATGAGCGACTCTGCTCAGGTGCATGCCCCACACTTTGGAAGGATGGTTATCGCGGGGGTGCTGGGCCATCAGGGGCTCCTGCTCGCAGGCCACTGTGGGAATGCACAAGGCCGGAGCTGAGTTCATCTCAGTGATGTGGGGAGTGAGGTGTCTATGGCGATGGATGGTTCAGTCACCCAGCCACTCAGGTGCATTTCAGGGAGGCTAAGGACAGCCTCAGCTAGGAGAGGATTTTCAAGAGCCACTCGGTCATCAACAGAGACCCAGTGGCCCTAATGACAGATTTTCCTCTTTAACTGTTGTGCTTTGGTAACATGTGGACAGCCCAGAGAGATGCAAATGGCCCCAGCTTTTTAACTCCTGGAGACTCAGCTTGGTTCCAAGACCCCCTTCGGATTCCAAACTGGGAATGCACAGATACTTCCATTTAAAAATTAAATAGGTGGGCTGGGGATTTAGCTCAGTGGTTCCGGCGCCTGCCTCGCAAATGCAAGGATGCGAGTTCGATCCCCAGTACAAAAAAAAAAAAGGCAAAATAAAAATTAAATAGTTTTTGCTTAATAGCCCAGAGCCTTTGTACTGAGCTATATTCCCAGCAACTCTAACCTCACCTGACTTTTTTTTTTTTTTTTTTCCCAGTGTTGGAACTTGGGTCCTTGGGCTTGTGAGGCAGGCAGTGGAAAAACCAGAGTCACCTGACTTTTTTAATTGAGATGGGGTCTTGCTATTGTAGTTCAGGCTGTCCTCAAACTCAAGGCAGTTCTCCTGCCTTTGCCCCAGAGTGCTGGGATTACAGGAATGCAGCACCCCTTTAATGTGCCTGTCAGTTTAAACCACTGGTGTGGTACATGTAGCACTGTCCCATGCCACCCTGTGGGACAGCTATGTATGCACCACCAGTGGTTCAGTGCTGCCGGGAAGCAAGAATTACAGCTGTATTGTGAACATGGTAAACACATTAGATGATGTACAGTGGTACCTTTGATCCCAGCACTCTACAGGCTGAGGCAGGAGGATAGAAGAGTTTAGGGCCAGCCTGCACTACATAGTGACACCCTGTCTCAAACAAAAACAGTGCCTTAAAAGCAGATGTTCAGGTCCATGTCTAGGATTACCTCCCTTAGGCATAGAAAAAAGCGGATGATATAGAAGCTAAACTCCAGAAGCTCAAGGAAGAAATGCGAGTTTTCAGTGGTAACAAGTTATCTAGTATTAAAACCAGAAAATAAAAGTCTTCTGCATGCAGTACTGGCCATTGGATCCCCTAACATACCTTATGGGAGCAGCTGGTGACTACCACAGGCGTCCTAGCAGGGTGCCTCAAGTTTGCAGTCAATACACCAAGATGCCAACAGGTGTAAATAAGGCTGGGATTTTTTTTCCAACTTGGCACACACAGAAGGCACAAGGGCAGATAGCTCTGGAGCCGCAGAGCAGGACATAGGGTGGTGTGTGTCAAAGGTCTACCTGCATCTACTACCTCCCAAATACACGGGACAGGATCAGGGGTGCAGGCTGTGGCCCAGGGTCTTACCAGGTCGGGATGAGACTTTTGGGGACAGGACCAGTTCCAAAGTGCATTCACTTCTGGGCACCAGGGAGGGCCTGGGTCAGAGGGAAGGGGAGGATGAAGAAGAGGAGAGCCATGCCCAGCCGTACCACAACTGCACACCACTGTTGCGGTGTGGGAACAGAAGGGTCAGAGTTCACAGGAGGAACAACTCCCTTATTCCTGTTTTTTGTTTTTTTTGGGGGGCGGGGACGGTTTCACTATCTACTTCAGGCTGGCCTTGTACTTGCAGCAGTCATCCTGCCTCAGTCTTGAGTGCTGGGATTACAGGTGTGTGCTACCATGCCCAGCTGACCTCGTGCAAGATCACAAAGTGTACTCAATGTTCATAATGTGGGACACATGGGCCATCTTGAGGACCCTGTCTACTGGGGACTAGGTGTGTTCCATGTTGTGTGCATAGGTGTCCAGCATGCTGCCAGGACCGAGATGGCATTCATCCCCTGGGCACCTGTGCACCAGTGTCCCGGAGACACCCAGCCCACACTGGGCTCCCCAGCTTGTGTTTCAGACACCATTCTCAGCTGCAGTGTGGGGTGGGCATGCAGGGGGCAAGTGTATGGACCTAAATGGCCCATGGGCAATTGGTTTGCCCACTGGCAAGCGTGGTACATACCTCTAATCCCAGTGCAATACTGGGGAGGTTGAGGAAGGAGTACTGAGGGCTCAAGGCCAGCCTGGGCTATGTAGTGACTCAGATCAACAACAACAAAATACAGTAGTTATTCTGCCCGAGACTACTTTCTCAGTCCGCCACTTGCTAGCAAAGTGACCCCAAGTGGTATGTGACCATCAAGGGCCTCTGTTTCCCCAACTGTAGAACAAGGAAAGCTCTAATCCTTGTTTCCTAGGGTTGGAATGAGGATCTAGTGAGTTACTTCGTGGGTAATACATGCTTTATACACAGTGGTGACTCTTGCCTTTTCCTACTGTTTTTGAAGTTATTTCACAGTGGTGGGGAGGCACAGAGTCACTGGCCAGACAGCCTAGACTTCCATTTGGTTTCCATCACTTGCTGAGTTAACCCCGAGTTGCTCCTCTCTATCCTTACTCTGTCCTTACTTCTTAGGACTGGATGCAGGAAAATGAGTGCACTCATTTATCTTGTTTTTCTTCTTTTTTCTGTTCTCTTTTGGGATTGAACCCAGGACCTACATATTGAGCTCCATCCTGAACCCTTTTTTGTTTTTGGTCATTTGTTTGTTTGTTTGTTTCTTGGTAACATCAAACTCGAGACCTCGTGCTTGTGAGGCAGGTGGCGGAACCACTGAGCTAAATCCCTGGCCCTCTTCCAGCTTTTTGAGACAAGGAATTGCCCAAGCTGGCCTCAAACTCATAATCCTCTTGCCTCAGGCTCCCAAATGCTGGGATTACAGATGTATACCACCACGTCTGGCTTTTCTGATTTTTTAGTCCTTTTTAATATTTTCATTTGGAGATGTCTTAAATTAAATTGCCCAGGCTGGACTCAACTTTAGATCCTCCCGCCTCAGCTTCCCAGAGTTCTGGGATTACAAACGTGTCACCAAAGCCAGTTTCTCTCTTCTATTATTATTATTATTATTATTATTATTATTATTATTATTTATTTATTTTGTCTGCCTGGGTCCAGCCCAGCCTAAGTGTTAGTCTGTCAACAGCTGTAATGCAGAGTTTTTATTTTAGTCCCCGGAACTGCGCATGTAGAAGGCAGGAGGGCACTGTTTCAGGGCAGTGATTTTGAGGCCCAGCTTGGGCTACATAACAACTGTCTCAAAAATAAATAGGGCTGGGTATTTAGCTTAGTGGTTTCGCCACCTGCCTTGCAAGCACAAGGACCCAAGTTCGATCCCTGGTACAAAAATAAAATAAAAAATAAATGAATTTTTAAAAAGGGAAAAAATACACATCCCTTGATACCCTCAATAGATTGGATTTAAGACTCCCACAGTTAACAAAATCCATGCATGCTGCTTAAACCCCTTACATTAAATGGAGTAGTATTTGCAGAGAATTTATACACATTCCCACAGATTTATTTATTTATTTTGGTACTGGGGGTTGAACTCGGGCCCTTGCACTTGCAAGACAGGCGCCGGAACCACTCAGCTAAATCCCTGGCCCTTCCCATAGATTTTAAATCATCTCTAGATCACTACATAGTAGACCTTTGACTTATAAACTCAATTCATTTAGAAGGGCTTGTTACAACTCAAGTTGGTCAATTGAAGGCTCAGGCTCTACACAGCTTTCAGAGTCTCTCATGCAGGTAGATTTCAGTGTCCCTTATTTATTGTTTAAAGGGACTTATTTTTTCGCTTTTTTTTGGTACCAGGAATTGAACCCAGGCCCTTGCGCTTGCCAGGTGGGCACTGCATCACTGAGCTATAGCCCTGGCCCTCTCAGTGTCCTTTAGAGAGACATAGGTCCAGGATTTTTCAACTCCCCACAGGAAAGGATGTAATGTTCCTTTCAGAATGCTTTAAGGGTTAAATCTGTATCTGAGACCATCTGGAAGCACAAGTGGCCAGCATTTAGGTCATAACTCAAGACTTTGTTCTGAAGTTAAAACTGAAATTCCAGTTGTAGCCCAAGTTTTTTGTATGTCAGGATGTTTGAAACTTGAGGGTCCACTGTATTACCTGATACAAGCCACATACCATAGAAGTAGTTGTTATACCCAGGCTGGCTTTGACACAAGATCCTCCTGCCTCAGCCTCCCAAATCCTGGAATCACAGGTGTGCACCACCACAGCAACATCTTTCAAATGTTTTTGATTCTTTGTGGAATCTAAGACTGTGGACCCTGGAAATCCAGAGGGCTTAGTGTATACTGGAGGAAAGACCAGACAGGAAGACAGCCGGATACCAAGTTCGTCTAGATAATGAGAACCGATGTAGAAGGGACAGGTGTGCACAGGCACAGAAGACAGGTGAACACGGGGGCAAACTGGCTCTCCATCGAGTGGGTCACCCAGAGTGATGTATGGGTGTGCACTGGGTCTGGAAGCATTACCTCTGTTCCTCCTCTCCATGAAGAAGGTAGCTGCTGGGCTGACACTGTGGTCCTTCATTTCTTGCAGGTGAGGAAGGCATTACTGTACAAATATTCTAACTCATGGGAGTGTGGTGGCATATACTTGTCATCCCAGCACTCAAGAGGCTGAGGCAAGATGATCCCTCAAAGCCAACCTCGGCTACATAGTGAAATGAAAGCCAGTGCAAACTACAATAGCAAGACTTTTGGTTTTTTCGTTTTTGAGACAGGGTCTCACTATGTAGTTGAGACTGACCTGGAACTCACTATGTAGCCCAGGCTGGTCTCATCGATCCTCCTGCCTCAGCCTCCTGAGTGCTGGGATTACAGGCGTGCGCCACCAAGCCCGGTTTAGCAAGACTCTGAAGTCCAAGTCTGCTCACTCAGCCTGCCAGGGCTGCCCGCACCTGGAAGCCTCCTGCATGGACCCGCAAATATCCATCCCTCTTGCAGGGCCCCCGCTTGAACCTGCTCGGGTTGGCTTTCAGTATGTGTGGGAGGAGGCCAAGGGTCAACGCCAGGCTCGCACAGCACCCTTGTGCTCCGCTCCTTGTGCCACCCCGCGGGTTGCCGCGAGCCCCGTGCATCGCGACCACCTTTCACCCTCCCACGGCACTGCCACTCACCCTCCGACCACAAAAGAATGCCTCTTCCAGAAAAGTCACCCCCTCCACCCAGGCTGTGTCCCTTTCCGCTTGGCGTCCGTGGGATCACTGCTGTCTGGAGTTGGGAAAGCGCCGCCCCCAACACCCCCCGTCACGCCACCACTAAGAGCGAGGCCTCCAAGAGAAAGAGGCGGAAAGTGTGAGAAATTCCACCCTTGCTGTAGCCACCTTAGTTGAGGGCAGAGGCAGCTTCTGGTCTACCACGCCACACCCTATCACATACCCTTTCTCTGAGAGCAGTCTAGGTTTTGGGCTGGAGGCCGAACCCAGCCCCTCAGGCTGTGTCTTCGCACAAAAACTCTCCTTTCTGAGGCAGTATGCAGTATACATGCCTCTAAACAGCCTTTCTTCCGCTGCGTGCAGGTTATGGCTGTAGAGAACCTTTTTTAAAAATTCGCATATTGGGCCAGGGATTTAGCTCATTGGTTCTGCTGCCTGACTCGAAGCATAAGGTCCTGAGTTCGATCCCTGGTCCAAAAAAATACTAATAAATAAAGCCCCGGTGTGGAGGTACATGCCTGTAATCTCAGCACTCAGGGAGGCTGAGGCAGGAGGATCGCTGTGAGTTCGAGACCAGCCTGAACTACATAGTTCCAGATCAGTCTTAACTAATAGTGAGACCCTGTCTCAAAAAAAGAAAAAAGTAATAATATAATTACACAAGTTCAAAGTGATACAGCGTGTTCCAAATTTTGGCCTAGAGTGAAAAAAAAATGCATTTAAATTTTGGAGCATGTCCACCTAGACAGGAGGCTGGCCCCAACAGTAAGTGAGACAGACACTGCAGAAACAAAGTGCTTGGAAAGTTAGGAAGAGCTGAAAGGATTCTTAAGTTTATAAACTTGGTGCAGTGGGGCTGCGAGGCTGATACCTTTACAACCAAAATACAAAAAACATGGAAGGCTTCACAATTTTTTTTTTTTTTTTTTGAGACAGGGTATCACCATGTAGTTGAAACTGACCTGGAACTCACTATGTAGCCCAGGCTGGACTTGAACTCACAGCAATCCTCCTGCCTCAGCCTCCTGAGTGCGGGGACTACAGGTATGCGCCACCACGCCTGGCTAAGGCTTCAGGAATTTTGCGTGTCATCTTTGCACAGGGGCCATGCTAACTTCTGTATCATTCCAATTTTTAGTATATGTGCTGCCAAAGTGAGCACCATAGAGAACCTTTTATTTAATTAGTTAATTAACTGTGGTGTTGGGGATTGAACCCAGGGCTTTCCCACTTAAGTACATTCCCAGCCCATTTTTTACTTTGTATTTTGAGACAAGGTATCGCTAAGTCCTTTAAATTGCCTAGACTGTTCGTACTTGGGATCATCCTGTCTCAGCCTCCCGCTGAACCTTTGCAAAGACGCCCCGAGTTGGCCCTGGTTGGTGTCTAAGGAGGCAGTCCCAGCCCAGGGTCCCTCCTTCCCGCCCGCGGAGCCCACCTCCAGCGTGGTTCTGAGGGACTCCACCTTCCTCCTTTCTTACATGAGGGCCAGGAGGTTCGCCTGGGCGGGGTGGCAAACGTGGGGGCACTGAGACGTCCGGAGGGTCCCCTTCCAGGGCACGTGTGCAGGTGGTTGTCGCGAACACGCGTGTCCGGGGTGCAGCCTTGCTGGGTGAGAACCCGGGGGTCGCTTGGTGGCGGCTTTTTAGAGTCTCCAGGGCCCTCTGTGGGTTCAGCCGCGGTCCGGGGAGACTTCTGAGTGCCCCTGTGCGGCAGAACTACCCACACAGGCATTTTTTGGACGACTGGTCCCCTGTGGAGGGAAAGGGGCGGGCGTTGCACTGAGTTCCCAGGGCGCTGTCCACTGTCAGCCGTGCCGTGCCATCTAGGCCCGCGCCAGGCCTGGAGATGTGCCTGCGACGGGTGTCCAGACCGAGGGGAGGGCGCCCGCTATAAGTCGCCGAGGGATGTAGAAGGATCAATGGGTGGGGACTGCTTTTGGGGAGGTCCCTTGAGGAGGAAGGGTTGAGTTCCCACGTGTGGCAGGTGGAACCTGAAGGCGCTCAAAAGCAAGATAAGATTGATTAGAAAGAAGCCTGGCGTGGTTATGCCTGCAATACTCGACCTGTGGGAGGCTGAGGCAGAAGAATCACAAATTAAGAGCTCAGCCTGGGCAATTTACTGAGATCCTGACTAAGGCCCTGAGTTCAATCCCAGTACTGCAATAAATAAATAAGTGTGTGTGTGGGGGTGGCAGGAACAGCTTGGGAGGGGCTATGGTGAGAAAACCAATCGGGATCTCCACGGGGAAGGGAATGGCAGAATTGTTATGTGAGATCTCTGGGGACGGCGTCCGTGAAGCCCTGGGTCACCCAGGGGCGAGCCAAGATTTTACCCCACCCCAGCCGTCCGCGCGCCCGGAAGTCAGGCCTAGGAGGCGGGAAGGGGCGCGGGCAGAGACTTGGGCTCTGTCCCCGGAAGCCTACCCCGGCCGGCTGCGGCGCTACAGGCCCCCACCCTTATATGGGCAGCCGGAAGCGGCTCTGGCACCCTACGTCACCGCTTCCAAATTTAGCTCTGGAAATCAGAGGGCTCCAGTGGCGGGAAGGTTCCGGGCACAGCGTGGGGAGGGCGCGCCCCTTAAAGGGCCCGCACCACTACGGATGAATGGTGCTACTGAACAGTTTTTGCTTTGTGTGTTACTGGAGCTTAGTTTTTTGGGAGCGCGTGGCGGAGAGTGGGGCGGATGTTTTCTTTGCTCTTTCCCAGCACTGCCTGGTGCAGATCTCACCCCAGCCCCGCCCCATGGGGCGTTTGGCCGGGCGTCACCCACCGCTGCAGTGGGAGCCACGTGTTTCCTGGCCGGGTCTCCCACTGGGTCAGCCGCTCTGTCTGGGCTCAGCCCTCCCACCGCCCAAGAGTTGGAGCGGCTAGCAAGCGCTGGAGCCTGCCCGGCTACCGGTGGGTAGGTCCAATCCTCTGTACCACGGCTGCCCATTCGTTCGCTGGGCAGACCCTGGACAAATGGCTTTCTTCGTTTTCCCACCTGCGAACAGATATAATCCTACCTTCCTCCGAGTTGAAGGTGAGAGATCTGAGATAGCAACGGAGGGAAAAAGTTTAACATGCCTGGCCGACGGGGCGACGCGCGCCTGTGATCCCAGCACTTAGGAAGGTGAAGCAGGAGGATCGCTAGGAGTTTCAGGTCAGGCCTGTCTCAAACCCACCTCACACCGAAGTTTAACAAACCTGACACGTAGGAAGTGCTTAAGCAGCCGGGCATGGTGGCGCACTCCTGTAATCCCAGCACTCGGGAGGCTGAGGCAGGAGGATCGCTGTGAGTTCGACACCAGCCTGAACTACATAGTGAGTTCCAGGTCAGTCTCAACTACATAGTGAGACACTGACTAAAAAAACAAAAAACAAAAAAACAAACCCAAAAAAAGAAAGTGCTTAAGTAAATGGCATCATCGTTCCCGATTCTGAAAACAGACGACTGGAGGATAGTAGGAGCAGTGCCACTGGGGCTGTGGGGCTTGAATCTGAGTTTTCCCCAGTGCAAAAGTAAATTTGCCGCCCACAACCGGCCGGCGCCTCCCGCTGCTAGCACGTGGGTGGGCTCTGAGCCTTACCCGCGGCCTCTCGCCTCCAGGCCCGCGCGCGAGAGTAAAAGCAGCGTGCTAAGCTTGGAGACCACACCGAGAGCTCAACGAGCTCGAGCTGTAGGACGACGCTCCGCCCAGTCGGCGTTTCCGTCTTGTAGACGGGCTGGGTAAATTACGCCTTGTATCTTTAAGAAGTCTCTGGCCACTGTGCACTGGAAAGCCGGGATGCAGCCCTCTGATTGGGCGGGGCGCTGCTGACGTCACCTCGGTATAAAAACGCTCGAGTGGCCGGCGCCCAGGCAGAGCGTTTCAGCAGTCAGCACTGTAAGAATAGGCGTTTCTTTCGCAGAGCATCTGCTGCTACCTGGTCCTTGCTGCCCAGAGTCCCCACCACTCTCACCGTCGAGCTGACATGGAGGTGCAAAAGGAGGCGCAGCGCATCATGACGCTGTCGGTGTGGAAGATGTACCACTCGCGCATGCAGCGCGGAGGCCTGCGCCTGCATCGCAGTCTGCAGTTGTCGCTGGTCATGCGCAGCGCCCGCGAGCTCTACCTCTCGGCCAAGGTGGAAGCCCTCGATCTCGAGGCACCCTCGCCGCCCACCCGCTGCCCAGACCCGCGCCTGCAGCCGCCTCGAGAAGCGGAAG